ATCAAAGAAGAGGTCGGACGAGCTTGTCCAATCCCACGAACAGGGGCTTTAATGTCATCAGCAAGGGTAAAGGAAGGTAAATGATCAGAATAAGTAAAGAAATGTAAACAACTCCTTATTACCACAAAGGTGATCGATCGGTAGCACCTGAGTCAAATATCCAAGGACCAAGTGATGTAGAATGAGAAACACAAGAAACAGGATTACCAGTATCCGGAGCAGAAGGCTAAGACTGAGGAGAAGCTTTCCTGAGAAGAGTCTGGAGTGTGGCATAGTCTGCAGGAGAGAGAGATAGACTGAACCAAATGAAGCAGTATCTGACTGAGCTATATTCGTAGCATGAGAAGGTCGCAGATGAGGATACTTCGTGTAACAACGCTCCTCATAATGACCAAGTTGCTGACAATTACTACAGCGAGGTCTCTAACCACGTCTGCCCTCACCTCGGCCACGATCGCGACCACTGTTCCTGCGAGAGTCAGTACTAGAAATAAGAGCAGTGGAATCAACAACAGAAGATGAATCAGGCGCAGACACTAGTTTCTTGTTGAGATTTAAAAGGCGCTGGTAAGTCAATGATAAATCATGATCCCCACTAGTCAAGATAGTGTCACAGGCACTATCATACTCCTCGAAAAGACCAAAAAGAGTGGTAACCATAAAGAGGCGCTCCACCTGTTTCCTATATGCAGAAGCATCAGTAGGATAAGGCAACATATCCAAGTACACCTGCATCAAAGATCAACTTTTGCCAATATATGTCTCCATTTGAATGTCAAATGATTTGCACAAATCCATGAATTGGGAAATGATAGAATAGAGCTGCTGAATATCATTACTGTAGAGGTTTTTAGCTTTCTCCCACATTTTCATAGGATGTCTGAAAAGAATAGAAAATGTCCAGAATGATTGGATCAATAAACTGCCAAAGAATACTCAGAAGCTGGTTGTCAATCCTTTTCCAATCAGATTTTTCTTCCATGGGAATAACAGTAGATTGACCTGTGAGATGTCGCCCATGCCTCTGTCCAAAGAACCAGACGCGAACAGAGGTAGCTGAATTCTTGTGGTTAACAGAACCCTTCATTTTGGAGGAGGTAATGAGTCCAACATTAATGGAGATGATACCCGAAGAACTTTTGGCAGGAAGAGGAGGAGAACTGACCTCCGAGTGAACAGGAGATGATGCTGCCATTATGAATGCAATAAAAACTTGCATAATAGAATCAAACCGATAGCCAAACAAGAAGAAACGCGCCAAACAAGAGTGCCACGAATAACCAAGAGCAGTGGAAGAAAGAGATAAAACTGATCAATTCTATCCTAGAATGACCAAAAAAGAACGCCGAAAGAGTAACTCTGGCTATGTGACCAATTATATCTGATCAATTCTATCCTCGAATGACCCATTCAACCCAAAAATTTAAGCTATTGGGTGAGGCTACATTAATGGTTTTATATATCTCTAAAAAATGAAACTCAATCTTCAGTTGCTTAGTTCTATTGTGACGAACTAAGTTCATGACAATGCTTATGACAGCTTTGATATCGCATAGACTTTCATAGTGTTGTTTGACTAGATTTTAAGTTCCTAAAGTATCCTTTGCAAACAAATTCCCTTGCAAATACCATGGGCCATGGCCTACAAATGTACAATAGCCAGTTGTGGATCTCCGGTTAGTCAAAGATCCTGTCTAATCTGCAGAAATGAAGATTTCAATACCTCTGTTGAGATTCTTGTTGAAATGAAGACCTTTACCTATGGTCCCTTTAGGTATTCGATAAATTATCTTCATGGGGTTTGTCATATAACAACTTACCATAATCACAACAAACATGTTTGGTCTGGTATGGCTGTTGATTGGAGGACTTTCTTCTTCTATCCCACCTTTCCTTATAGGTTCCATTGGGGTGCCAGTTGTCTTACATCCCAGCATACTCGTTTAAGTCTAGTACATACTTCCTTTGAGACATAGAGATCAAGCGAGCAACTACGATTCCTAGCAGGTACTTGAGCTGAGTAAACTTCAAATTATTTTGCCAAAAAATTCTTGAGGTGCTTATTTTCTTCACTATCATCACCTGTGATGATGAAATTATCTGTTTGACATTGCATGAACCCATTTTTCTTGACAACTCAAGTCAACCTATCAAACCATTCTTAGGGCAATTTCTTGACACTATATTTGCGGGGTCTGCACAGTTTACCAGATTTTTTTTTATCCGGCAGGAGTTTGCATAAAGATTTCCTCTTTTATTTCCCCACTAAGGAAGGCATTTTTAATGCCTAGTTGGTGTAGAGGCCAATCTAAATTTATGTCTAGGGATACGATAACCCAGACTGAATTAACTTTTGCCACTAGAGTAAATGCTTCCACATACTCAACATCGTACGATTGGGTGAATCCTTTTGCTAATAACTAAGCTTTGTACCACTCTACCACCCAGGTGTGTTTGTAGTGGCTATCGATCAGGTTGGCTATAGCCATGCTACCACTCTGCAATCGAGATACCACCTCTGAGGTGCCGCTTTCCTGTCGTTTTCCATGGGTGAAGCAACGATAGAGGTTGTTGTCAACCGTGGTTCACATCGTGCAAGGATACCATAAAAAATATTATATTTTCCTTATTCTGTTGATAACAAAATTTCAGCATAAATAGGGAATTATGTAAAAAAAAAAAAAGGGTACAGTAAAGGCTGTACACTAATCTAGGCCTAAGAAAAACTAGGTTCTGATTTTGTCAGTAACAGGTGCTGATTCTGTCAGTAATAGGTAATTAGGTACTGATTCTGTCAGTAATAAATATCGATTCTTTCAGGAACAAAATTCTGTCTAACTATACCTAATCTGTCAGATTCTGTCTGCTCCTAAAAACAACGCTAAAAAGATTAGGAACTCATCACAACAAAAACAAATTTGAATGCTTCAGCCCAACATCCATTAACCCAAAGTATGGTACCAATAGACATAGCAATTCAACTATTTATTACATGAAACAGAAAACAACAGAGTCATAAACAAAACGGCAGGTTCATAAAAGTAACATAGTCATAGAAGCAAAATTAAACAAACTTTAAGACAAGATCAAAAAGCAATTTATATGAAGGGTAAAAATTATCAATTTATGTTATCAAAAAAAAAAAAAAATTATCAATTTAGGGCTTCTTTCTTCATTAAATTTTGCAATTTATTAAGAAAGTAGTCTTTTCAAAGTAAATTATAAATTCATTTATAAAAAGTTAAATGGGTTAACAAACAACAAAAGTTTACCCATTTATACATGATTAAATAAACAGTCAGCTTTACAAGGTTCGTTCCAACCTGGATCCAACCAAAATATTATTTGCGTTTGCCAAGTCAGCCGTTTTTATTAACTTGAACTTGCATGTGGAAAACCCAGACCTTTAGATACAGTTTTGATTCAAGGTCATGTTAATAGTTGATGTATGAAATTTCCATCCATATCCTCACATCGAAGTTATGTTTTTACTGCAAAAGGCTCACACCATTGCTAGATAATTAATAGCAGGTGATTGTTCCATAGATGCGGGTAGCGGGCCCCCTCTGCAATTTTCCGCAACGCAATATGATGATTTGGAATTGTGGCCAATTACGGTGAAATCACGCCAATACAGTGAAGGAACGGCAAATACCCTGTTTGCCTCTATGAAACTGGACCAACTGGTGTCCCATGTGCAATTTAAGGGGGTAAAATTGATTTTCAACCCTTTTTTGCAGGATGTTACTGCTACACACTATCAAACCCTATCTCTCTTAACTCAATGTTCTCTCTCTCGACATTTCCATCAATCCCACCACAGTAGTTGCACTCCAATTTCTCATCTATTTTGGACTCATTTTGTGGTTTTCCGGCAAGGCCACCTCTGCCCCAGCAAGCCTACCTCTATTGTTGCATATATTTCGGCCTCTATTCACTACTTTGTTCCTTATTCCAGCTGGGCCACCTCTGTTTTCTCTTCTAGTTTGGCCTTTGTGCACTACTTAGTTTCCTGTTCCAGCAAGCCCACCGCTAATGTAGACTTCGCTGTAGTGGCTATATCACTACCTACTATCTCGCTATAGCATTTTGGGGGTCTAGCGCTACACGCTGCTATCCAAGTTTGAGAACTGTTAGAGATATAATATAAATCATTAAAGAGGCCCTCACCCAACAGCTTAAACTTTTAGGTTGAATTGGTTCTTTACATAGTATCAGAGCCTCGGTGTCAAGGGTTCGATCCTCACCGCCCCCATTTTCTCTTGTGGAATTTCTCAGCACAGGTAGGTAGGCCTGTGCATTATCCACCTTCTATGCCCAGTGGACTCTCATGTGAGGGGGCGTGTTAGAGAAGTATATAAACCATTGATGGGCCTTCACTTAAAAGCTTAAATTTTTGGATTTAATTGGTTCTTTACAAGAAATATGCACCATTGTAGGGCTTGAATAAGGTCAGATGTACACAATGTTATGCCTATGAGTGGAAAGGCTTTTTCAACGACCAGAACCTATGACCCTGCTCACAAGGCAGAAAACATAAAGTTGTGCTAAGGCTTTCTCTCTTTGGAGAAAACACAATAATGCAGTTAAAATTCTTGATGGAAAATTCATAATGCAAATAATCTTTTTCTTACTGGATGATAAAAACGTGAAAAAATTAATCTTTGTGAATGTTTGACCATGATATCTTTCTCGTTATGAAGTGCCAAGATTAGAACTGTAAATTCGGGCCTAGCCATTTTTGCAGGCAGGTCCAATCCCGACCAATTTAGGTATAACTGTATAAGCCTTTGTTGACTTAGCAATTAGCAAGCCACCATCTTGGATTGTAAGTATAATAAAGGAAATATACGAACAGAATTACGCACGCTTTAATGCTCAATATATACAAAATAAAATGATAACTACCAATTCAAGTGAAACATACTAATTTGCTTCAAGATTTGACATGGCATTCAAAAATCATGTGGACAAAATCAATATGTGCATTGAAGTTGTACCTGCAAAGAAGATGGTCCACTGTTTGGTTCTACAGGCTGCCTCAGCGACAGAACCTCTCTTGCCCTCATTAACTGGACAAAAAAGTTCTGGCCTTTATACTCCTTCCATTTTGATGGTTTTGGTATCAGTTCAGTTACAGGATCAAGAGGATTCTTTGCAATCTGCTTCATCCAGTTTAGCATTCCAGATAATGCTTCCCGTTTGCGTTTACGACTGTTAAATTCCTTCTCAGCAACTTCTGCAAGAGTGGTAGCAAGATCATCCTTCACACAATTACAGAAATTTTCATCATCATCACCATTGACAAGTGGGACACCCTCACATTTGATAATTTGATATTTGGCATCCAACAAATTAGTATCACTCTTATGGTTAACCAGATCAATGTAATTTCTAATTTTATTTGATTCTAACAGGAAAAGTTCATCATCTTTCTCCTTTTGCTTTGGACATAAGAGGCATCTAAACTCTTTCTCAAGCTCTAACAGCGACGACTTAAAACCCCAATCAGACAAGTGGTTCTCATTTTTGAAACTGTTCTCCTCAAAAGTCTTCCTGAGCCATCCTTCAAAATCATTCAGATACTTATTATAAACTAATTTTACAGAAGCCAAAATTTTAAGGTTCAAACCCAATTCCTTTGTCACATCACCCCACAACCCTTTTACAGACACCACAGCATAGCCACCTCTTTCCTTCACAAGGGAGAACAGTTCATACAAATCTAGCAATTTACCATCCCCGAGAAAAACTGGCACAGGCCTAACAATGCCTCTGGAACAATCCTCCTTTAAGTAAACCGAAAAAAGTTGATTAAACAAGCATTTTTGTTTAACTATGTCATCATCAGCGTTATCAGTATGATCTTCCACAAGGCAAGATGCGCCATCAGCTTCAACTCCAATGCAATCTAAGGAATACCCATTTGAGAAAGTTGACAAGTCTGCCATGAACTTTGATTGGCTACCTCCGATTGCTTGAAATGTTTTGGTCAAAAAATCAAGGGAAATTAAAAAAAAAAGCCCTAGATTTCCATTTGTTCAATGTCCATGACACAAACACGAGCTAAAATCAATACGAGAGACAACTGGCCAAGAGAGAACAATTACACAGATACTACTGATAGAGTGATTTGAATGTGCAAAAGGATACAAAGGGTTTTTCCTCTTCTGTTGGCAGATTTATCTCATGATCATGGTCTCTAGCTACCTATCAAGGTATCACGTAATTAATGTATATGAGGCAATTAGGAGATATATATATATATATATATATATATATATATATATATATATATATATAGAGAGAGAGAGAGAGAGAGAGAGAGAGAGAGAGAGGGACATATGAAGATTTGAGGAGAGACAAAATCGAAATTAGAACCTGAGAATATTGAGTATTGATCAGTGGAGGGTGGCACAAACTGAAGCTAGATTTGAATGCTGCAAATGAAAATGAAGACAGTGAAGAAGCACAAATACAACACCAAACAAATGACTAAGGTGGAAATTATCCAACATAAAAAGACCGCTGTTCTTTCGGGGGCTTTTCTCTTACCTTCTTCTCCTTTGAAGATCTTAGTATAAATATGTATTAACATAAAATAAAAAATCAGAGTCACTCATGCCAATAAATAACTAGGGTTTGCTAATAAATAACTAGGGTTATTTAATAGATGGGCCGGGTCTATCAATTCGTTTAGGCCCGGCCCGTATTATTAAATACATTTAATATATTTAATTCAATATTATTTTGAAATATAATTAAAGATTAATTTGTACTATTATAAATTAAATATTTATTAATTAATTATTAATTTTATTCTTATTTAAGGTTGTAATTAATTAATTGTATGTGTTTTGTTATAATTTTCCTTGCAACGGTCCAAGATGGGTGGTATTTCTGATATTTCGATGCGGGACATATTTTATTTGGGAGTTCTCTTGGACGTTAAGATTCAATGAATCAACAAAGGTGTGTATTTTATGATTTTGTCATATTAGGGAAAAATTTCTCAATACCTTTTTTTTTTTAACAAGAGAAGTTCTCTCAATGCTTTAAATGCCCACGCCGGATATGTACTAAATTGTATCATGATGTTCTGAACCCTGCTCACATATCATTTTAATGGATAAACAACCTAACTCTTGGAACATATTATAGCCCCAGATGGCGAAGAGTTAACATTGAGGTGCCAAAGCTTCCCATCAATGTCTACTCTTGAGAAAAATCAGCCTTTATCAATAACTTTTATCTGTTGAGCAATGACCCTTTCAAGCTTCTACGATTATAAGACTCATTCAACTTGTATTAACTTAAGTTCATCACCTCTCTTAAAGTATTTTAATTTATAATTTTTTGAAATAAAAATATATTATTTTAAATATATGTATATTAAAATTTTATCCATCAAAATTATAGATATTTAATATGAATAATATGTGCAATGCGTGCCTAAGAAATTAACGCATGTGTCTCGATATTTCATGCCAATTGGATTCTTTATAATTACCTTTATTTATTAAAAAATTTAAATATTTAAAATTCAATTAAATTTTTTAGGATTATAATAATTCCACAATAATAAAAAAATTAAAATAATATGGAATAAGTATTTAAATATAAAACCAATTGATTTTCACGTGTGTTACGTGTACATTGCAAGGATTATTTAAATCTATCATAATTATGATAATATTATGCGTGCATTGCATAAATTATTTAAATTTATTATTTGTGACATTCAATTTATTATTTGATAAATGAATATTTAGTATACTTTTATTCATAATAAAAAAAGTATTATTGGTTATTTCAACCCATTATGATGTAGTATTTTAATGTTCACGATCTATTTGAAAATTTAGTATAGACAATAAAATTTTATAACTTAAATTAATATTTTATACATATTCATTATCATCATGCATTTTGGACATCTCGGATTTATTATTTTGATATTTAACGTCCAATAAGTTATCTTGTAGTTAATAAAATCAATATACTTTCTAATTTTACTTGAATTAACTATGTTTTTCTCCCTTAGATTTGGACATAATAGATCTCTAAATTCTTTCTCTGCCAACATAGTTGTTAAAATCTCGATTTATTTTTACGATGTTATGTTTTTACGATTTTTTTCATCAAAATGATTTTATCAATATTCCAAACGCTTTTACGCTTTTACAATTTTTTAATTCCTTTCCGATTTTACTTAAAATCCTTATTTTAACAACATTGGTTGCCAACAATTTAAAACCCCAATTAGATACATGATTCGCATTTTTTAATTGTTTTTTTTTTCTTTCAACAATCGTCCTTCAAAATTATTCAGATACTTATCATGAATTAATTTAACTTCTATTTCAATTCTTTTATCATAATGAATGGAAGAATCTTGAATGATTAATGAAAATAATATTACAAAACAAAAACAATAAATAAAAAAATCTTGAATAATTAATAACAAAATATTGCATAATAAAAAATAATGTGAAAATTTTTTAAGATGTCATTAAACAAGACATGCATATGGCACAAATCTAGGAATTCACAATAGAGTTAATAAATTATCAAAGATATTTTTGGTACATATTTAATTAGAACGTTTTTTAATATTCTATGTAAATACTCGTTATATTTTGCCTTATTTGTCATGTTATATTTTTGGAAAAAATGTGTATCATTTTAAAGGACACAAAGTTGTATCATTTTAAGTGAGAGAAAGAGATAAATCACGGGAGAGAAAACGAGGAGAAATTTTTTTAAAGATGTGGATCTCACTTTTTATAAGAGTAAAACTGTGAAAGGATGTCAGATGTGTCATTTAAAATGACACACCTTTTTTTCCTATGTTTTTACCATCTAGTCAACACCGGTCTCTCTATTATATTTTACAATAAATATTTTAACACTTTTAATCCAACAAGATCTTTGAAATATTTTTACTGAAAAGTTTTATTAAAAGAAAAATAAATAAATACCATATGAACTAAAATTTTATCCATTAAATAAAAATACTTATAATTATAGAATTTTTTTTTTGGTAGGCATAACTATAGATGTTTAATTTAAATGATTTGTGCAATGTACGGGTAAGATAAATAATTTTAATAAAAAATTTATTCCTAAAATAAGAAATCAATACATGTGTCTTAACAATTTCATATTAAATTCTATATAACTACCTTTGTTTATTACGAATAGTAAGGAAATATTAAAAAATTAGATATGTATTTTGATAAATATCTAAAATTAAAAATAATATAGGAATGTAGTAAAATATTAATTTGTGGAAAACTTGAATTTTGAATATGAATTTTGAAACCGTTCACTATTCTCAATTTATGATTCTGTAACCACCATGTAAATGGAATATTAATTCCATCATTCATGGTTGTAATCTTATATATGGACATTGTTTGCAGTGGAAAACGATTGGATAATGAGAATCTTATATATAGACATTGTTTGTGGTGGAAAACGATTGGATAATGAGAATCGGAGTTCCTCCCTATTTCCCTTTGTCTCTTCTTCTCATACTTTATCTTTTAACATGATTTTTCCTTTCGTTTCATAGCATATTATTAGCACAATGGTCTTTACCAACTAAGGTTAAAATATTTTTGTAGTAATAATTTTTGTTTGCGAGGTAGGTATCTTATAGGTATTCATTTGTTCATTCTTTAATCAACTTTTAGCTCATCTTAATATATCACAATTTTCTATTCTTGAAATGACACTGGGTAGCCTCTTGCTCTTAAAGTTATAATGAGTATTTGAAAATCTTTATTTGATATTTGACATCTTATTCTTGCTCTTAAAATAGCATTGAGCTTTGGTAATCCGTATTATTAATTTAAGGATTTTTTCAATATAGTGTCATGTCAAATATTGAAAAATTAAAATTTCACATTATGAAAGTGCGTATAAATAATTATAATTTTAGAGTTGTTGGTTCATAAGCAAGTCAATGAACTACTGTTAAAAAATAATTTTCTTAGACATGCTGGTTCAAAAGTATTACCCAAAGCAAATGCTAACTCTATAAAAAAACACTATATATTTTAGGAATGTGAGCGCAGATAAGGATATATCCCTTGATATGTTGGTAAAAAATCTAACCTTCGATCAAATCATGATAAAAGAAAGAAGTCAAACGAAGGAGGTTAAATAAAATAATAATAATAAACTAAAGATGAGCATAGTAAATCTCACGATATTGAAAATAAGCCTATAATTATGATTGATGACAATTATTGAGACCAACAATACCTTTGTTAGCTTTTGCTCTTAGCAAATACATATTTAGATTAAAGTTTCTTATTATTTTATTTTGGATTAATTTAATTCATTACTCAATTATTCTTTTACCACTTTCTTTATGTTATTTATAATTTAAATATTTTTCTTTTCATTCGTGGAAATTTCGTTGACTAACATGTTTTTGTCTCATATTCAGTTTTTTAATTTTGTTAACTTCCTAAAAAAGTTACATTTTATGCATCCCGGAAGAATCGCACAAAATCAATGATTTTGCTTGGTGATCATTTTTATTAATATTATTAATATTTGGAGAATAGTTTCTAAAGAACTATAACTTTAGATCATGATTGAAAAGATCCAGCTGTACAATAATTTGAAATAAATAAATTGAGAGACAACATTCTTTATATTTTAAGTCTATCAAAAAAAAAAAGTCTATCAATGTGCTTTAGAAATAGTCATATGAAGAAAAATAGTGGGTAAAGTTTGGCCAATGGGTTTAGCCCTATTCACTAAAGTGAATGTTTCAAATTATAATTTTAGTCATGATAAAAGTTATTGTCATAATTGTTGATTATAGATATGACTACGACAAACATTATTAACTTGATAGAAGGCTCTAGAAGAGCTTGAATTATGTTACCTTGGAGAAACAGTCAAGGAATGAAATAAGGTCTCACGCTAATGTGCAATACCCTGTTTGTAACCGACTTGTTAACATCACTTATGGTATTAAACACAACATAATTTATTATTAAACATAAGCTATAATATAAAATGTTAATTTTAACACATTGGTAAATGTAAAGAAAAAATGACTAAACAATAACACAAGAATGGATGAATTGTGTTTTACTTCTTTTGCAAGAAACAAAGAAAATCAAATCCCGTTTAAAAGAAAATGCAAAACGAATTGAAACAGAAACTAAACCTTTCCCATCACAAAAATAAATTTAAAATATACCAAATAACATGCAATAACAGTGATATAGCAGCGGTAATAAAAAAGTTAAGAGAAAGGAGATAAAAATAATAAAATCTTGAAACCCTTTTTAACCAAACATGTAAGAACAGATTTGATCAATAAACAAACACTCCCCGGCTCTAAAACAAATTCAAATCATTATATATAATGAATCAAATAAGAGTTATATGTAGCGAAAAATAAAAGGATAGGAAAAAGAGAAGAAAACATCAAGATTTATCATGATTCACTCTCCAACCACTTGAGAGCTACATCCAGACTGAGGTCGACCGTTCCACTTTCTT